CTTAAATAAGCGATAATATACTAAATTATTATATAATAAGCGAAGGTAGCATTATAGTCAATTGGAGAGAATGATGAAATTAAAACGAGTATTGCATAACGAATAATATCTCAGTTTAAAGATGGCACTCTCCATCGAAGATTGTAGTTTATTTACACTCGTAAAAATTTTACGTACTAGATTTGTTAAATTATTCTCGAAAGTTCTCTGAGGTATAAATTTTTAAATCATACTGTGCTATACCACGTAAGATTAATTATCAGATTATGATTATTCCATGTAATGGTTACCAATTATTTACAATTGGTAATTTGGATGATACATGCACACATATCAATATCACAAAATAACGTGTCGTTATCTCTGATTTTTGTGAAAACTCGTCATACGTGGCTGTGTGACGTAAAGCACATGATGCACGTGATGTATGATCGTTATGACGCATGCGTGTCCAATGTAGCTTCAATAATATACTGGTCACTAGTAGCTGCGTTCGACAATGCAAATCTGAGACATCGAAGTGCCCTTTTTCTACAATGTATGTATCCTATAATATAAGAGCGATGTCTCAGATTTGCATTATCGAACGCAGCTAATAGGAGAGCATTAATCGCTTAGGATTGAAAATGTTGAAAATTTTAATATATTTTACATATTTTACATATATATACATATTGGAAGTACAAATTAGTTCAATCCGTTTCTCTAAAGATGGCTCTAGCTGTTGTGAATGGTTCATAGCACAGCTGATTTTGGCTGTTTCAGAGAGATTAAACAAATGCTAATAATATTCAGTTTATATCGCTTTGAGTTTCATACAAAAACCTTGATTTTTACTGTGTTTGAAATGTTGAATTTTGTGTTAACCAAGCAGCATTTGCGGGAGGTTTTGATTTTCTGCTTTAATTGGAAGAAAAGTGCGGCTGAAGCCCATCGAATGCTTGTCGAAGTTTATGGTGACTTAACTGATAAATCATGTAGGGAATGGTTTCGATGTTTCAAGGATGGAGATTTCAGCGTTGAAGACAAGCCTCGCTCTGGACAGACAAAAAAAATTCAAAAACAAAGAATTAGAGGCATTATTCGAAGAAGATCAGAATCAAACGCAAAAGGAGCTTGCAGAATCATTAGGGGTAACTCAACAAGCCATTTCTGTACAATTGAGAGCCATAAGAATGATTCAAAAACAAGGAAATTGGGTGCCTTATGAACTGAAACCGAGAGACGTTGAAAAGCGATTTTTTACTTGCGAATTTTTAACAGCTGATTCAAAGACAACAGAGAAAAAGTTTTTTTGCATCGGATTGTGACTGAAGATGAGAAATGGATATTCTACGACAACCCCAAGAAGAAAAAATACTACGTTAAGCCTGGTCAATCATTGCCATCGACCTCAACATCAACACCATAGCCGAACATTCATGGTTCGAAAATCATGCTCTGTATCTGGTGGGACCAAAAGAATCTTGTTTATTATGAGCTGCTGAATTCCAGGCGATTCCATTACGGGCGATTGGTATCGGCTACGATTGATTCGTTTGAGCAGTGCATTGCGAGAAAAACGGCCGGAATAGCAAAGACATGATAAAGTTATTCTTCTTCATGACAACGCTCGGCTTCATGTCGCTAAAAAAATATTTGGAAACACTCAAATGGGAGTTTTACCGCACCCGCCGTATTCTCCGGACATTGCTCCTTCTGATTAGTGGTTGTTCCGAAGGATGCAGCAAGTCACCGGTTCACTTCTTTCGCAGAAATCGAAAATTGGCTCCAAAATTGGATCGCCTCCAAAGACGAGTCATTTTTTCGATATGGAATTCGAAAATTGCCTGAGAGATGGGAAAAAGTAGTAGGCAGCGATGGACAATACTCTAATTGATTTGTTCATTCATTTTATTTTGAAATAAATGCATTTTTAAACGGACCGAACTAATTTGTACTCCCAATATATATAAATATATATAATATATTTCTATATATGTATACATATATGTAAACTATGTAAAATATATTAAAATTTTCAACATCTTTGAAAAAATTTTACATAAGCAACTAATAATCTTATACATATAATTTATGTACATACTCGTATATGTCCAAAAAATATGTTTAAATAAAAACAATAAATAAAAAGAAATCTTTTTTGCTCGATTTTTTATGTTACTTTTGTTCACTTTTTCACAAAAATTAGATCTCTCGAGATTTCTCACACATTTCACCAAATGGACAATATACGTAATATTAGGTACAACTTTGCTTCCGCCGTTTTTTTTCCAAAATTCGAAACTTTATTGTAAAAAACTGGTTATACATTTATGATTCAAAGTATTGTCCATCGCTGGCCACTACTTTCTCCCATCTATCGGGTAGCGTACGAATCCCGCGTCGAAAAAACTGGTCATCTTTTGAGGCTATCCACGAATCGATCCAATTTTTTACTTCTTCATAAGACCGGAAGTGCTGGTCAGCCAGGCCGTGTGCCATTGATCGAAACAAGTGATAGTCAGAGGGAGCAATGTCTGGAGAATACGGCGGGTGGGGTAGGATTTCCCATTTCAACGTTTCCAAGTATGACTTTACCACTTTCACAACATGGGGTCGAGCATTGTCATGCTGCAAAATCACTTTATCGTATCTCTCGTTGTATTGCGGCCGTTTGTCTTTCAATGCTCGGCTCAAACGCATCAATTGCGTTCGGTACCGATCGCCTGTGATTGTTTCAGTCGGTTTTAACAGTTCATAATACACTACGCCGAGCTGGTCCCACCAAATATAGAGCATGACCTTGGAGCCGTGAATATTCGATTTGGCCGTCGACGTGGAAGCATGGCCGGGAACTCCCCATGATTTTCTGCGCTTGGGATTATCGTAATGAACTCATTTTTCGTCCTCAGTCACAATGCGATGCAGAAATCCCTTCCGTCTTTGCCTTTCAAGCAGCTGTTCACAAACAAACGCCGTTCAACATCTCTCGGCTTCAATTCGTACGGCACCAAATTTCCTTACTTCTAAATCATTGGCTTTGAGGCGTTTTGAAATGGCTTGTTGAGTCACTCCCAATGATCGTGCCAACTCTTCTTGATTTTGACACGAGTCTTGCTCAAGTAATGCCTCCAATTCTGCATCTTCGAAAATCTTCTCTCTTCCACCGCTATGTTGGTTTTCGACGTCAAAATCATCGTTCTTGAAGCGTTGAAACCACTCACGACACGTTCTTTCACTAATAGCGACCTCACCATAAGTATTTGAGAGCATTCGATGAGCCTCAGCCGCAGATTTCTTCATATTGAAGCAAAAAATTAAAACCTCCCGCAAATGAGAATTTGGCTCGTAAACTGATATTTTCAATCGAGAATAACTTTATGATGCAGACACAAATCGACTAATGTTTCTATGGGGTTATGTTGATAGATACCCAAGTTTATTGTATGACGTCTATGATCTATTTATTTCGACCACCGCTAAAGCCATCTATAGGAAAACGGCGGAAGCAAAGTTGTACTCTTAATACTTCCTCTTAGAACATACATACTGGAAAAGCTATACCGTACGTAATTAATGTAATTAAAGTGTCTCCAATATCTATCTGTTCTGAATGTTTGTTGCGCGCTTGCGTGTGATGATACCATGTAATTCGAACTTGAAAAAATAGTTATCAAAATGTTATTTGAAATTTGAAAATGATGGAAAAAATGTTCCTAGCAAATTGTTATTGTTATTGATTATAATATAACTATATACTTAAAATACACACATATTTTATATATTTATATAATTTAAATTAATTCAATACATAATCTTAGAACTTGGCTTAAAATTATCTACAAAGTAAGGCTATACTTACGCATGAAGAGATATTTTAGATTTTGCTTCGTTGATATTTTGACATATAACATAATAACGTCCCATTTTTTTAATAATTCTATATGCTTTCGTTTCGCGAGCTTTGAAGTTTGAATGTATATGTATATGGATATTCATAATCGACGCATGCGCATTACAGTGAAGCATTCAGACAAGGACAGATAGATGTTAGTACCATTGACAGTCACCTATGGCCTTTCCAGTATGTATATTCTAAGTACTCCTCTAAATTTCTACTTTGAACCATGTATACTTGAAAGACAAATGTTTAATAGCTCCTGTATACGTTTGCCGCGCGGCAAGTGTTGCCGCGTTCTGTGTGTAGGAGCCATAAATGGAACATTCAAACGCTTATTTAAATAGAGAGAGAGAGAGAGAGAGAGAGAGAGAGAGAGAGAGAGAGAGAGCAATAAAAAAGTAGGAAAAGAGACGGAGGAATTTATTTATTTCACGCATGCGCACTTCATTTTAACCAACAAAATCAGAGAGTTGCACTACTGTACATCATTGATCTGTTTTCTGTTCCTGCACTAGACTGCATCAGCACTTTCTTTCTCACTTTCAAAAAAATATTCATAAATATTAAACATATATTTATCTTTTCTTTAAGTTCCAAAAGTGTACACTAGTTCAGCCACGAAAAAGAGACCTCATGTTATCCCTTCCATGAAAAGAACTGTTTAAATCATGTTATAAAAAGATGATTTATGAATTAAGCAAAGCTACCATCCTAATAGGCATGAGTTATATTTCCTAGATTTCTCGAATTACATCACAAATCATAAGACGCGTTCAAGCCGACAAAGCAGCTAGTCTGCTTGCCGAAATGAATATGATTGGTTGTTACTTATAGAACCAATCAATCACATTTAGGATGCGGTCGAGTTACCGCTACGAATTCTTTAAAGCATTTTTTGATTGGTCAAATTCTTCCTTCCAATTGGTTAATCAAATATTTCGAAACATTTATAGTGGCAACTCGACCACATCCTTAATCGCTCGGTGAGCAGGCTAACAACTTTGTCCTAGAGGAGTAGGTATAAAGAGAGTAACGTCAATTAGCCGAAAGTCATGTCTGTGAAGTTAGCACAGCTATTTTGAAAAACAAAAAAAAAATCAAAATTGTGCTAAATTGTGCTAGACTTGTGCTATGTTATGTCGCAAACCGCATTTCAATATCTCAAAAAATGAAGTGAAAATGAAAAAAACCATTTTTAAAGTTCAACATTGCCATTTTGTCAGAATAAAAAAATAAAAAATAATATAACGATAAAAAAGTTAAATAATGGCTCCTGCACACTGGACGCGGAAACGTTATCGCGCGGCAAAATATGATGCGGAAGCCAATAAGATTACAGTTCCTAACATGTTCATTGGTTACGGCGTCTTATTTAACCACGCAAGCG